GAGATTGGGCGGCAGATGATGTAGTGGTTATGTCACTGGACTCCCCCACATGGCTGACTGCAGTTAGAGTCCTGGACCTGGTGGCTTGAAACTCGTGCTGGGCATGTGTGCATGAACGCCCAAGATCCTGGGGGGAGAAGGGATTGTGGCATGGCAATCTGACTGGGGGGTGATTTCTTACTTTCCATCTCACTGTCTTCCCCCCCCCCCCAGGCACACAGGCCTTAAGGCAATAACCTCTTAATAACAAAACAAAACAAACAAAAAAACCATAGGGCTTACATCACATTTTGTTGCTGGTATCCAGGAATTTCCCTTCTTCTCTTCCTTCCTTATTGCTTTTTAATCGCCTAAATTGTGCTGGAATGCTTCTATATTGTGAAAGAGTCAAGTCGTAGAGTGAGGCGCCAAGCAAAATCCAAGACTCCTCTCAAGTCACCCGTGTCAACTGTGTGCCCTGCCGGGGACCTTTAGGGAATTCACATAGACAGATAATGTATGAGCTTTTTAAACAGAGGGATATATTATTTGTAGGTATATATACTGTTTTGTGATTTGCCTTTTTCACTAAATAATATATGAGGAGGGGGGTCTTCAAAAGGGTCATGGAAATGCATATTATAAAGAAATTATGCATGAGTGTCAAAATTTTTGTACCAAAATAAACTTGTACTTTTTTTTTAAGAGAGATTTTTGTTATAGGACACATGCACTCACCAGAGAGAGACAGAAAGCAAGAAATCAGCCCCCCTCCCCCCCAGGGGAGATGGCCACGTGGTAATCCCTCCTCCTTTATTCTTTTCTTGGGATTTTGGGCACACATGCACACATGCCTGGTGTGGGTTTTAAGCCACCAAATCTGGGACTCCACCTGCAGTCAACTACGTGAGAGTCCAGCAACATAACCATTACACCATCTGCTGGTCCCAATAAACTTGTACTTTAATTCCATTTTTTAGCCAACTTACTGAAGTTCCTTCTTACTGTTGAGGTTTTCTCATGTCTGTATAATGATATACTGATGGAGTATATATTGTCCCATTATTTTAATTTTATTCTTTTACACTTATTTTTAAGAAATGAATATATTATTTCTGTAAGAAAATTAAACTGTATAAATAAAACAGAAGTTCTCCTTGTTCTATACAATTGTATATCATTTTTCAGAGATAATTTCTATTACCAGTGTGAAGTATACTTTGTCTTTCCTGTGTTTTAAAAATGTATTTATAAACACCCATGTATGGAGATATATATGCAGTTTTTTTAAGTGATTTTTAAACATTATTACCTCTGTTTTTCTGCAAATTGCATTTTTCATTTAACAATCTAACTTTTAAAAGCAGATAGTGTAATGGTTACATTGCTGGGCTCCCACATGTCTGACCATGGTTTGAGTCCCAGGCCCGGTGGCTTAAATTCACACTGGGCACATGTGTGTACATGCCCAAGATCCCGAGAGGAGAATAGAAGAGAAGGGATTGCAGCATGGCCATCCCTCCTAGGGGATGATTACTTGCTTTCTGTCTCTCTGTCTCTTTCTCTCTGTCTCTCCAGCAAGTTCAGGTGCCCTACAGCAAACCTCTCTCTTAAAGTCCTTGAACTGACACCTAGCTTTTTTTTTTTTTTTTTGGAGAGATTTTCACTGTAGGGCGCGTGCGCTTGCCAGACAGACAGAGAGAGACATAGGGACAGAAAGCGAGAAATCACCCCCCAGGGGGGATGGTCACGCCGCAATCCCTTCTCCTCTCGGGATCCTGGGCACACACGCACACGCGCCCGGCGTGAATTTTAAGCCACTGGGTCCGGGACACAAACCGCGGTCGACTACGTGTGAGTCCAGCGACACAGCCATTACGCTAACTGCTGGTTCCCTGACACCTAGCTTTTTATGTGTTGTTTGTTACCATTGTTATGTGTGAACATTTACATTGTTTCTGTTACTTGGCCATTATAAACTAAGTGGCAGTAAATTGTCCTACATGTATATCTTTCTGTACTTTTTCAAGTGGTCCTTATTATAAGAGAAGTAGAATTGCTGGTCTGATGGGGATGTACATTTTTAATCGCAATGTCCTGGTCCAGGACTCAAGCCTCATAGTTGGCCATGTGGAATGCACCTGCCTCAACACTGTGCCACCTGAAGAACCCCTAAGTATTTAAAAGTATTTGATTTTTAAATACTTTCTTGTTTGGGACCAGCAGATGGTGTAGTGGTTACATTACTGGACTCTCTTGTGGCCAACTGCAGTTCAAGTCCTGGACCGGGAGGCTTGAAATTTATGCCAGGCATGCGTGTGTGTGTGTGTGTGTGTGTGTGTGTGTGTGCCCAAGATCCCAAGAGGAAAATGGAGTAGAAGAGATTTTGGTGTGGCTAAGCCCTCTGGAGGGTCTTTTCTCACTTTCTGTATCTCTCTCTCTCTGTCTCTCTAGCAAGCACATGTGCCCTATAGCAAAAAATCTCTCTCTAAAAACAAAATGAACAAACAAAAGAGAATAAATATTTTCTTAAGGTACATATTTTCTTGAATTTTGTTTCTTGCATTAAAAAGTCTTCCTTAACTTAATGTTTGTCTACATACTTCTATAATTAATACTGGGGAAATGATTGCATTGCATTTTCCCAAGGACATTTGTAGAATTTTTCCTTTTCTTACTAATTTGAAATACTACCTTTTTCATAAGCTTAATTCTCAAGTACATGCAGTTCCCTTTCTGAACTCGTTTCTTTTCTAGTCACCTAATTGTCTGTTCTGCCAAATCACACTTGTCAATGACAATAGCTCTATAAAATTTTTGCTAAGTGGGAACACACCTTCCCAGGCTAGTCTTTCTTAGAAAAATTTTTGTTGCACTGTGTATTTTTCATCTAGAAGTGTTTTATTTATAATTTATTACAAAATATCCCACTAATTCCTGTTTGTTGTTTTGATGGTTGTTACACTGAATTTTAGATTTACTTTGGGGCAGACTTGACATTTTTCAGTCCCGAGGTTTTTTGTTCCAGGTTCATATTCTACCTCTTATACCTCAATAATTCATATCACATATGGCCTTCCGTCAAGTTTGGTGGTTGTCAGACTAACGGTCTTACATACTTTATGTTCATTCCTGAATATTCCATTAGATTTGTTGCTGTTGTGACTGGGATTAAGGATGCTTTCTAATTATTTATTGCTCATGTGTGTAAGAAGGCTTTGACTTTTGTTGTCGTTGTCATTATTTCTCTTTTAACCATAGACCTGCACTCGAGTCTTCTCATTGTTCCAGTAGGCTGTCCCTCATGGAGTCAGCTGATTCTTCTTGGTGTATTAGGACAGCTCTGTCCAAAAGTAATGCAATACAAGTCACATAACATAATTTAATTTTTCTACTAGTCATGTTAGAAAAGCAAAAAAAAAAAAAAAGCAAGTGAAACGAATTTTAATCATAGGCTTCCAAAATATTATCATTTCAGCTAAATAAAAAAAAATGAGTGAGATAATTAATATTTTTGTACCATTCAGAATTCACTGTATATTTCATACTTATATTAATGGCATCATGCTGTTGGCACTGTATTTCTGTAACTCAGTAATCACATTTGGCTAATGGCTACTATATGAGATAGCACAGTGCAGTTTTAAGTGGACAGTTATATTGACCGCAAATCATGGTCATTTTCTCCTAACTGCTTTTTCCCTTGTCTTGCCTTACTGTTTTTGCATGGAGCACCAGTAGTATGGTCTGCTGTTCATGATATTCGTTGGAACACTTAGAATGCTTGGCTGCTGTGGATTTCTTAATAGACTGATTTTAGAAACCAAACGTTTTTCTTTTACTTTCTAGTTTGTAAGAATCTTTCTTTTAAATTAGGACTAGGCTGTAAGTGTGTAGATGATTAAAAAACATAGGAATAGGTTTTAAGTTTTATCAAACAAAAAAATTAGTGGGCAGCCTTGTATGGGGCAGTAGTTAAGCCTGTGCATTAGGAGCTGAATCTCATGTGGCTGTTTGAGGTTCAAACCCTGACCTCGAAGGCTTGAACAACACATTGGGCCTGTGTGAGTGTGTGCCCCAAATCCTGACGGGACAGAAAAATGGAAGGAAAAGGTTTGTGGCATGACCACACCCCATTGGGAGAGTTCTCTCTGTCTGTCTGTCTGTCTGTCTGTCTGTCTCTGGTGAGTACATGCCCACAGTATTGAAGATTCTATAGTTTATATATTTATATCTATTTACTTTTACTGTATTAAGAATTAAAACAAAATTAGAAAAGATATTGATATCAATTGAGACAACCTTTTTTCCTCCATATTTTAGATGAAGAGAAAGGAATTGATACCATTTAAAAAGAATTAATTTTATTTGTTATTAAAATGGTAGACTATCCTTGCATGTTGGAGTCAGACTTAATCTTCGTGTGTATGACTTAGGCTATCTAAAATCTCTGTTCTTTGTTTTCTCTTAAGTGCAATCTTTATCCAGTTTTTATCAAGGAAGATTTTCCTGATCTTGTCAAATGTATTGTGTTTTTTGGAGGGGGATATGGTTATCTCTTCACCTCCATTTTCTCCTCTTCTAAGGTTGATTATCCATTCAGTGTTCTCCTTTGACCAATTTTTGTGTTTTTCCTAGATATTTTAATAGCGTGTTTAGGTTTTCAGATATATTGGTATAAAGTTGCATATGAAATTTTCTTGTAATTATTTGTATGTTTTCTTATGTAAGGAAAAGTCTGGAAAGATTTTATAAGAAACCCAAATAATGATGTTCTATGGGAAGTGTTTTTTTCTATTTGGAATAGGAATTATGGGACTTGGGACAGGTGGTCTTTAGGAAATTTTCTATCCTTGGCCATATGAGGATTTTCAAATAATAAACTTGTTTTAGTTTTGCATCAAAAAAGAGAATTAAGTGTTATTTCTAAATTTTAAACATAAAAACGTTCAAAGTGTTGTATAGAAAAGTATTCATTTCACTGATGGTAGCACATCGTAACCGTATGTTTTTTTCCCCAGCTGGACTCTGGACTGTCTTCACACTAGGTGGCGTGGGCAGCAAAGCGTCTGCCTCTCCAGAACTTTCTTCCCCTCTGGCCAACCAGAGTCTCCTGCTCTTGCTGGTGCTGGCCAACCTGACAGACGCTCCAGACGTGCCGAACCCTTACAGACAGGCCATAATGTCCTTCAAGAACACACAAGGTTGGTGGCGCTGGTTCTCTGATTATTCTTGCTAATGATTAAGAGTATTGTTTAGGGGGACCAGCAGTTAGCATAATGGCTATGTTGCTGAACTCCCATGTAGTCGACTGTGGTTCGAATCCTGGACCTGGTGGCTTAAACTCACGCCGGGCACGTGTGCGTGTGTGCTCAAGATCCGGAGAGGAGAATGGAGGAGAAGGGATTGCGGCGTGACCATCCCCCCTGGGGGATGATTTCTCGCTTTCTGTCTCTCTGTCTCTGTGTCTTTCTGGTGAGTGCACGTGCCCTATAGCAAAAAACCTCTCCCCCCAAAAATAAATAAATAAAGAGTATTGTTTAGGGACCAGCAGTTGGTGTAATGGCTGTGTGCTGGATTTCCCTGTAGTTGACTGTGGTTTGAGTCCTGGACCTGGTGACTTAAACTCACACAGGGCGCATATGCATTTTTTGCATAGACCTACATTTTTTTCCTTCCTTTCTCTTGAGATTTTGCTACAGAGTGCATGCACTCACCAGAGAGACAGAGAGAGAGACAGAAATCGAGAAATCACGCCCCCGGGGGGATGGTCACACCATAATCTCTTCTCTTCCATCCTCGTTTCAGGATTTTGGGCACACATGCACACATGCCTGGTGTGAGTTTTAAGCTACCAGGTCCAGGACTCAAACTGGAGTTAACCACATGGGAGTCCAGTGACGTTAGCACTACGCCATCTGCTAGCCTCCCTAATACATTTCTTATAGATAGTAGATGAGTGTTCCAGTTAGTTAGATCTTTGTCAATTCTGATATTATCATTCATGAAGTGTCTTAGTCCATTTGTGCTGCTGTAACAAAAGACCTGAGATTGGATAATTTATGAAGAATAGAAATGTGTTTCTCACAGTTCTGGGGGGCTAAGAAGTTCATGCTCAAGGTGTCGGCAGGTTCAGGGCCCGGTAAAGGCCTGGACTCTGCTTCTAAGATGGTACTTTGAATGCTGCGCGTCTTCACATGGTAGAAGGGACAGAAACCAAACGTGCTGAACATCATGTGAAGCCTCTCTTCTAGAGGCCTTGATGTCATATGAGGATAGAACCCTCAGGACCTCATCACCTCCTCAAGAGTCCCACGCTGTTGCATTCATTGGAGATTACATTTCAGCGTGAATTTTGGAGGAGATTCAAAGCATAGCACAGAGCAATAGGGAGTCGATAATAATTTAATGGATAAAAAATGAAAACTCATGCATCTGGTAGTATTTTTCTGTTCCCATTACTACACTGTTCTCATTGACCGAATGAATGATAGTTAAGAAAGCCAGTTTTGGAGTCAGGTAGACCCGAATTCACAGCACCTCTGTTACTTCAGAGTGTGAGACCTTTGACAGTTCGCTTGATCTCTGTAAGCCTCAATGGCTTTGTCTACGCAGTACAGTTAATATCATATAATAGTAGCTTAAATATGAAGCAAGGTAGGGTTTTGAAAGGATCAGCTTAGATTTTGCAATAGAGCAGATACCCAGTGTATGGCATCTGCTCATGCCAGAGGTCAATTTTTAGGGTTCAGCCTCGCTTGGGATAGTCGTCCTTTGGAGACCGTGTAGTACAGTGATCCCAGATGTTGCCTTTAGGGTCAGACTGGTGTGTTCATAGCTCAGTTTATATTCTGGGAATTTAGTGAAATTTGAATTTCCTTATTTGAAGGCAGAAATTATAATCTCCACCTCACAAGGTTCTTTGAATAATTAAATAAGCATTTATCATAGTACAGAATCACACAGTATTACTGTTATTATAGGAAGTGGTAGTAACGGGCTGATCTGGGTTTTTTTCTCAAGGCTGGGCTGGTAAAGTTACTTAATTTCCTAAGCCTTTTTAAGAAGCCTTTATAAAACGTGTCAGAATAATGACATGGCTGTCCTATGGATTAAAGTATTTACTACAGCAGCTGGTTTGTCACACTTGTTAGCTACCAACGCACGATACGTGGGCACACACGCAGCACACTTACTGCACTGCAGTCAGCTACGGTGCAGGCTGGGGTGCGTGTGACGGCGCTTCCATCCTAAGGAAGTACAGCGTCCGGACTCTTCTTCCACGAGTCTTCTGCAGATCCGGTGATGTTTGCATATTCACGGGACAGGACAACACTTCCTTTGCTTCCCGTGGAATTATATGAAACCAGTTACACAGCAGAACTCTTTCATACATGTAAAAATCCAGTGTTAGGGCTGAAAAAAGAAATAACCTGTTCCCACCGTGAAAGAAGCGAGGGTACTGGAGAGTAAAATGGAAGGGATTTCTCTTCAAGGCATTCCTCTCACCAGCAGAGCGCTTGGCAAGGAGGACCTGAGAGGTGGGGACCGCCACTGTGGACTGTGGGGGGCCCATCCCTTTTCCATATGAGCACAGCTTCCAGGAATGGTGAAACAGATGGTTATGCGTTTTTCTTTCGAGTGCTGCTTTTGTGTTTTAAAGTGTTTTTCACTTTTTCTTTCTTTCTCTCTTTCTCTCTCTTCCTTCCTTCCTTCCTTCCTTCCTTCCTTCCTTCCTTCCTTCCTTCCTTCCTTCCTTTCTTTCTTTCTTTCTTTCTTTCTTTCTTTCTTTCTTTCTTTCTTCTCTTAGTGCTTTCTTTTCAAAACAAACAAAAACTACCAGCTCCAGAGACTGGCAGGTGGCATGGTGGTTAAAGGTGCTGGACTGCCATACAGCTGACTGTGGTTTGAGTCCCAGACCTGATGGCTTGCTTTGGCACTTTTTCTCTCTGTCTCTGTCAAATTAAAAAGTAATAATAAAGTTAAATAAAATAATTATTTAAAAAGAACCCCAGCTCGGGACCATCAGTTGGCGTAATGGCTATGTCGCTGGACTCCCATGTAGTTGACCGCGGTTCGTGTCCTGGACCCGGTGACTTAAACTCACGCTGGTGTGTGTGTGTGTGCACCCAAGATCCCGAGAAGAGAATGGAGGAGAAGGGATTGTGGCATGGCCATCCCTGGGCAGGAGGAGCAGCGTGATTTCTCATTTTCTGTCTCTCGGTCTCTCTCTGTCTTTCTGGCAAGCACATGTACCCTATAGCAAAAACCTCTCCAAAAAAAAAAAAGAAAAAAACCCAGTTCTTTGTGCTATTGTATTCCTATGCTTTATTTGATGAGATTATGACTTTCTCTGAGTCAGTTGAACTTTTGCAAGCTTTTTTTTTTTTTTTTTTTTTTTGAAAGGTTTTTCCTATAGGGCGTGTGTGCTCACCAGACAGACAGAGACAGACAGATGCCGCAATCCCTTCTCCTCCATTCTCCTACTCGGATCTTGGACATGCACGCACATGCGCCCGGCGTGAGTTTAAGCCACCAGTTCCAGCGACATAGCCATTACTCTAACTGCTGGTCCCCTTCATCTCTTTTTTAACCTGACCTTGCTTGTTTTAGTTTCTAAGCAAATCTCTAGTTAAACATAGGAAAAGGACATGTCACATTTGGAATATCAAGAATTTCCCTTGTGTGGGATGTGATTTATGCTTTTCATGGTTTCACTGACTATTCTTTTTTTTTTTAAAAGATTTATTTATTTATTTAATTCCATTTGTTATTATTATTTCTTTAATTTGACCAGACAGAGACGGTGAGAAAGAGAGACAGGAAAAGGTGAGAAAGCAAGCTAGGTCCAGGATTTGAACAACAGTCAGCCACGTGGAGGTCCAGCGCCTTTATCCACCACGCCACCTGCTGACCCCTCACTGACTGTTCTTTAAAAGAAAAATCTTAGCAGTTACAGCCAGTTTATCTAAGTTATATGTTGTTGTCCTAGTCACTTTCTTCATAAATGAATTAACATTGGTGACTATACTTCAGCCATGATGCATTTTTTTTTTAAAGAAAATTAACTTAGCTTCAAGGAATTTGATTCTTTTTAGCCCTATCTTAGAAGAAGATTTCCAGTTCTGTGTAGAAATTGTATTCTCTTTACCTTTAGATATCTTTATTTAGGGCTGGTAATTATTTAGCATTGGTTCCAAAGCACCTCAGTGTCTTGGTTAAAATGTATCTATCGGAGGGTCTTTTGCCTGGCTTGTAGCCCTGTTTATTTAAGTTCAGTTTTTTGTAGCAGACTTGTTTCAGCTGTATTAATGGGAAAATAGTAACAAAGTCACATTGTTTTATTAGCCTAGTTCTTTTTTACTTTTAATTTTAAATTATACATTGAAACTTTGAATCTGAAGTGTAGTGACTTTACATAAAATTATTAGGAATTGAGTTGTCACATTACTTTTTTATTTATTTATTTTTTATTTAATTACTGTACATCTTTACAGCATACAAAATGAATTTTCTACCCTGAATATACAGCATATTGGTCCAGTCAAAGATATTATCAGACACATTATCAGCAAACAATTTTCCATTTTTGTGTCTGTTAAATGTTTTGCTTTCTACCCCCTGAATTCCCCTCCCCCCCATTGCCCACCCTTCTCCTGCACTGTCTTTAATTTGCTATTATTATTATTTAAATGTCAAGAAAAGCCATGTTTGCTTTAACGAACCAAAATTTAAAAAATGTTAAGAAAAATTTGCTTAAGACTTAAAGATAGGAAAAAGGTTAGGATTCTCTCCAACCAGTAGGTAGGTACTAAAACTCAAAAAGCAAGTATGGACAGGGGAACCAGCAGTTAGCGTAATGGCTGTCGCTGGACTCCCACGTAGTCGACTGCGGTTCATGTCCTGGACCCAGTGGCTTAAAACTCATGCCAGGCATGTGTGTGTGCGTGCCCAAGATCCCAGAGGAGAATGGAGGAGAAGGGATTGCGGCGTGACCATCCCCCCTGGGGGTGATTTCTCGCTTTCTGTCTCTATGTCTCTCTCTGTCTGTCTGGCGAGCGCATGTGCCCTATAGCAAAAAAAAAAAAAATACCTCTCCAAAAAAAAAAAAAAAGCAAGTATGGACAGAGCTAAAATCTAGTAACGAATGCACTATAGTTTTCCTCTGAAATACTTTTTCTCTCTCCATTCCCTCTTTCACCAA